AGTCACGGAACAGATTAAGTTCGTAAGTAGAGGTACCACTGTATTCAGAACTTTTGTTTCACCCTAACCCCTACTGGTTGAATGTACTGGTTGGGCCAGTAGAACATTCCCAAGTGGATTTATGCTCATAAAAATTCCCATCAATGGCAGGGAGTCAACTTTCATCTTTTCCCCCTTCCCTCCAAAATTTCCTGAGCTCTGGACAACGTGTTGTGAGGCTAGGGAATCCCCTGAAACAATACGAGTGTGAGATGAGAATGAAAGTTGCAGGGGAATCAAACAAAATTCCTTTATCATTTTGCCAAAGGGATTCTCTGCTGCTCCTATCCATGAAAGGAAGTGCTCAGTATTTAGACCTCAATTAGTTTATTTTATTCTGAATTAGAGAAATAATTTATGATATGCTAAATTATGCTATAACACATTCATGAAAGAGCTGGGGGGTTTTTTAAGGAAAAAAGCTCTTAATATGGGGCTTCAAATTTCCCCCCTACATTTTGGCACATAAAGGCCAAAAGCGCCCTAGGGGATGTAAGATTAAAATATAAAAATATTCAATTTGTTATTTTGAAATGCCTATTTCTCTTGTATAATAGGACAGTTATTCTTATTTTTTGTACTACCTATTTTCATTAAAATATTTATACATTGGGGTATAAACAGTGTTTTCCTAGAAGTGTCTACATCAAACTTCCCTACATGTACGAGATGCCTGTAACATTACTGATTTGGAATTTTTTCATAAAGTTACAATGCCCAGTAGAGTAAACTGGGGCCTACCACCAAAGTATACTGTGCCCAGCTCTTTCATGAATGTGTTATAGCATAATTTAGCATATCATAAATTATTTCTCTAATTCAGAATAAAATAAACTAATTGAGGTCTAAATGCTGAGCACTTCCTTTCATGGATAGGAGCAGCAGAGAATCCCTTTGGCAAAATAATAAAGGAATTTTGTTTGATTCCCCTGAAACTTTCAAAGTACTTATTTTCTGTACTACCTATTTTCATTAAAATATTTATACATTGGGGTATAAACAGTGTTTTCCTAGAAGTGTCTACATCAAACTTCCCTACATGTACGAGATGCCTGTATCATTACTGATTTGGAATTTTTTCATAAAGTTACAATGCCCAGTAGAGTAAACTGGGGCCTACCACCAAAGTATACTGAATATTTTAAAGAAATGCTTATGATGGGTAAATACTACAATGTGTACTTAGGACAAAAATGAACAAAAACAAAAACAAAGAAAACCCTTAAGGACACAGAAAATACATAACATGGGAATGTCTAAACTCATCAATGGTACCTCTAGGGATTTAATACAGCATAGTTAGCACAATGCCCACAAATCCAGCTCATTCTCTTAATATTCTTCATTTTTCAAATTTCATTAAAAACTAAAATTTACCTTGGATCCATGTTTTGCATCTGTAGTGGATGTAGTTACTGCAGTAGATGTTTCACTGACCATACTTGAAGGTCTTTGGTTTATCTGATGCTTGGACATATGTGAATTATGCCTGAAAGAAAGAAATTACAATTTAATTCCTTGTTAGTCTTGCTTTTTAATCCTCACGTGTAACTGTGGAACTAGGATAAATTGGTGTTGCAAACTTTTCCATGCTTCTAGCTCATCAGTTCAATAAATAGTTCAAGCTAGATACAACATCTTTCATATAATTAAAAAAGATAAAATCTTCAAATCAAATTTGACTCCTATACCATGTAGCTTTCTTAGAAGCAATATAGTGGTTTGCTATTGGGTTCTTCCAGCATGTTTTTTCAGCTTCCCAATTTATCTTACAAACCTGGGATTCTCTGAAAGTCTCTTAATTCTCTTTATTTCTACATCCTAATCAGGCCTGGCCCTGTTGCACTTCCAAGGTCCAAAAAAGATTAGTCAGGTGGTGCTGTATAATTGCATACTTGGCTTTCAAAAAGGAAAGTATAGGCCTGGGAATCTTCCTCAGATTAGGTCTGCTACCAGGAACAAAGACTGCACCTTTTACACCAAAATCTAAATCTAGAATGAGGTCCACAATCTCCAAATTTACTTTCTAAAACTGTTTCTAGAATACAATAAATACAGTCTTATCAGTACACCAAACTTGGAAAGGAAAGCATGCTTTTTTGCTGCTACTTCTCCCATAGATTTCTATTCCAAAGCATATTTATCTGTAAGAGAAACTTGGCTGGAAAAGAAGGATGATCAGAAATACTCTGGGTAGATAAGACTAAGCCAGTTAAAAAAATGTTGAATATACATTTATTGTTCAAATAATTTATTCTCAACATGAGCTTTTATACTTATAATTTATAATCAGAAGTGAATTAAATATCTCCAGTTATCACTATTTTAAACCACTGCATAATGTATTAATCATTCTTCTACTACACACATTTTTAAGTATGATCATATTATCACTTATTTCTTATATGAGCTTATTATTTTTCAGAGGTTAAACTACTGTTGTAAATCTTCCTTCCCTCAAACATTTTCACTGATATGACAATTTGTCTATAAATATTTCATTACAGAACAAATCTAAAACCTGCGCCACCTACAGAAATGACAAAAAGTCCGACTTTGGTAATTAAGTATAGAATTTTATTTATTTAAAGGAAGATTCTAATTTTTACCATTCAGACATATAAGAAAATCGTATAATACAATATCCTGTCACTAACATAATAAAGTTATGTAAAGCAGAATAATCACTATCATAATCAAACTTAGTATATTTTATTCAGGGTTAGGAACCTGCTAAATATAATGTTAATTTTTATATTCAGGGAACACAACCAACTAATCTTTCAAATGGAATATTTGAAACTTTATACAGAAAAGGGCCAGGACATAAGGGAGGAAATTTTTAAATACTACTATTAAAATCTATAGCCTATTACAAATATATATCATCTATGTGCTAAGTGGCTCCTTGTCTTGGCTTGGACTGAAAGATAACTGAGAGAAACAATTTCCAACTGCTGCCAAAACAATTACATGGATGAGTACATGAAGTCACCAGGTCGATACATGAGATTTATTTATTATATTGATAAAGAACTGTAATCAAAATTTAATTTTAATAAGGGAGGGGAGAGGTTACGTTGTTTGTAACTGCTGTAAAGAAGATCGGAAGTCACTTCTTTATACAGTATATCTTTTCTTTTTGTTCTATTTATATTTCTTTTCACACATTTTTCTTACTTTCTCACTTCACATTATTCTTTCTTCTTTTCCTTATCTTTAATCTTTATATTATTTCATGTTTATTTTTTTATCTCTGAAAATTTTTAATGAAAATTACACACACACACACACACACACAGAGTATGTATGTATGTATATGTATGTATGTATGTATGTGTATGTATGTATGTGTATGTATATATATATATATATAAAAATCAACTTTACTTTTAATATGCTAAGCACAGCTATCATACACAACTACTTCCTTAAGATACAGCCATACTATTTTTCTCACAGTGCAAGAAAAGCACACTATGAAATTTAGAATACAGTATTTTAACACTTTAAATTTCAATATACAAATAGCATCTTCAGTGTGTATGTGTTTTGAGGGATATGTCCTATTTCAATGATTTAATCAAAAGCTTTCATCAAGCAGAATTTATATCAGTTCACTTTCTAGACACCACCATGAAACTACACAATGTATATAAACATAAAGTGACTACAGGTGGTCCCTGGGTTAAGAATGCCTGGGTTACAGACGAACCCATAGTTAAGAATGGAGCCTATTGTAGCAAAAATCAAGTTAAATACACAATAATTCAAGTTAAATACATAATGGTTTGAGTTCATTACACAATACTACTTATACCGTATTATACAACAGTACTGTTCTGGCTTACACACAAATTCAACTTAAGGACAGACCTTGGGAACGGAATGCGTTCTTAAACTGGGATTACCTGTACTACACATAAACATCCATGCTCCAACTTCTATCCGCACATGCTACAAAATCTACTGTTCACAGTTAAGCTCTACAATACAACTGTACTGTCCTGACTCATCTGACAAGAACACCCAAGTAAGGGATTTAAACTGAATTCTCAAGCTACAAACTCCATCAATGCATTTTTTTATAAAAAGATCAATAAAGCCATACTGATTCTCAGGAATAATCTACTGCAAAACAAATCCAGGAATCTACCCAACAAAAGAGCTCTTCTCAAAATATTCACCTGAAACCTAAATTACCTAGGTGAAAACATTCATGGACTGTGATCCAATGTTATATTAAATGCATTAACCTTCTATGCTTTTGTTGCAATATAGCAGGCCTACACAACATGCAGCCCACCAAGCAACCTTGTGTGGTCCACCAATGTTTTTTTAAAAAGTTGTTTAATCCACTTCCACTGCCCCAAAGGACGTGCTGCTGAGCACCTCCAGGCCTTGCTGCCACTGCCAGCTCCAATGATACCACTGCTCTGCTAGCTGCCTATCAGCTCATCGTCATGCCAGGTATTTCTTTGCAGCCTAAAATGACTTTTAATTTATCAATGTGGTCCTTTCCCCTCTACAAGTTGCGCAGGCCTGCAATATAGTAACACAGTAATATAGTATTGTGAAAGACAATTTTAATATCCCATCTGAACTGGATTCTATTCGTATTCATTCTATCAAAGTTTCTAGTCCCAATTGATTGACTGAATTTATTTATTTACTTATTTATAAGACTTACATGGCTGCCTATTTTATCCATGATAATCCTTGGTGGCTCACAATGATATTCAATAAAAACAGAATAAATATATCCAACAGAACTTCACCACAACATCGTATATCCCAATCATAGTACCACAACATCCCACCAACTCTACATTTACATTTGATTATGTGCCATGCACTTGATGTCAACTCTTACTGACCACACTGATAAGATTTTCTCCAGGATGATCTGTTCTCAGTTAGGTCTTCCAATGGTGTACCCATTACTGCTATAATTGAGTCTATTCACCTTGCTGGTCATCTTTTTTTCTTACCTGCACCCTTTCCAGCATTATACACTTCTCCAAAGAGCTGGGTCTTCACATAATGTGTCTGAAGTAGGATAATTTGAGCCCGGTCATGTGTGAGAACCCTGGGTTGATTTGTTTGGTGATCCATTGGTTTGTTTTCTTGGCTATCCAGGAGATATTCTCAGGAGTCTTCTCCAACACCAAAGTTCAAAAGTGTCAATACTCTTTCTATCCTGCTTCTTCGAAGTCCAACTTTAGCTTCCACAGATTGTCATAGGGAAAACCATTGTCTGCATTATTCTGATCTTTGTAGATTCCACATCATGGCATCTGAATATCTTTTCTAAAGCCTTCACTACTAATCTACCAAGTACTAGCTTGTGGCAGATTGCTGGTTCCTTTACTCTTGATAGTCAATCCTAAAAGGCAAAAGCTATCCACCAGTCCATTTTAAGGCTGGCTGCCATACCTATTTTCATTAATTTGGTCTTCTTTATATTCCATCTTAGTTCCACTTTTTCATTGTGCTCCTTGACTTTTATTACTATTGCTTGGGGATGTTTTCAGATATCAGAGTATTCTAGGATAGGTTATTCTAATTGTATTTAAGCAAGGTCAGGGATTGAGGGGACAGAAAAGTGGGCATGATTATGGGTAAAATAATCAAGATAATGTTATGTTCACAGACTTTTAGCTAAAACCAATAAAACACACACTGCCACAATGACCAAAAGTTGTTTAGTAATATACAATATTAGTTACTTAATTATAAATATATTATGGAATAATTTTTATTGTGGTAATTTCAGGCACCTTGTGTCACTAGTAATTAAGAAAGGAAAAAATCACTCAAGACACATAAATATGGCTTAAATATTTGAAAACCTGAATTCAGCAGCATGAGTAATGACTCAACTTTAGATAATAAATATTACAATTTTTATGGCAATATAGTTGTTTATATAACATTGTTTATATAAAAAGCAAAGTAAAAACAGCAAGAGGGAAAAATCCAAAATCTATATTAAGATAATTTCTTAGTAGTCCAATTGAGAATTTATAAAATAGTATCCAAGCATGAAACTGAGCAAACTCAGGGAGGCAGTGAAGGACAGGAAGGCCTGGTGCAATATG